TGCCGCGCCAAGAAATTTTTCTCGCCGGAGTCGATCCTTCAAATCTACAAATCAACTATTCGCCCTTGCATGGAGTATTGCTGCCACATATGGTCTGATCCCATTTCTGTTTGTCTCAAGGTCCTTGATAAAATCCAGAGAGGGATATGCAATGTAATTGGCCCTGATCTGGCATCTCGTCTGCAGTCGCTCTCTCACAGACGTGCCGTCGCCTCTCTCTGTCTTTTTTTACAAATACTTTCACGGTAACTGCTCCGATGAGCTGCTTTCGTGGGTTCCCAGACTTCATGTATTTAAGCGTTTAACTAGACTGGCATCTCGCTCTCACCCTTTCACTGTAGAAACTGTTAAATGTAGCCATCTCTTCTACTCCAATAGCTTCGTATCTCGCACTTCTTGCCTGTGGAACTCCCTCCCCTTTTCCTGTTTCCCTGATAGCTATAATCTCCAACTATTCAAATGTAATGTCAATCGACGTCTCCAGATGCCTTGGTCTATCCCCTATCCTTCTCTTCATCCTTTCTATCACTCCTATCTGCTCTCGCTCCAACTCTCTGTAACCCCTTTCGTGCTAGTGGCTTCATGCCTTGCTTGGGGTGAAATGCTTAAAGTTAATTTCAAATTATTTCTGCTTCTACACGCGAGATATAGCTTTTGTAAATTTTAATATGGATGCCATGCATATCGTCAAAGTCGTTCTGAAATATCTAAACTGTCAACTGTATACAAGCGATTTCTCAGATCAATGGTTAAGATAGCTTTGAGTGACTTAAGTCTTAAGGTCTTGGCAATGACAGCACGTCATTGAAACTTGTGGAGTGACGTTACAGAATAACAAACTATTGTACGTAAATAGCATCACTTGAAGACTTTTATCAGCAACAAAAACTGAAATTGGTATCACATGTCGAAGAGAAAATAATAACATAATCAAGATGCATCTGTTCCACAATACTTCAAATAAAATTTAGCAAAGTCAATACTGGAAAGAGCTATAGCAGCTACTGGACATAAGAAAACTATTTCCCGGAAAAGTCGTTTTAAGAGAAATATTTTATAAGTTTCATTCGACACCATTACTGGCTGCTCGGTCTATGATTTCTGAATATTTTCCTATAAAGAAATGGCTGTTATTACCATTAGCATTAGCGATGGGATCAAGGTTCGAATTTGTCAGTAAGGTGACTTTATGATGTTATAGTCCTTGAGGAGATAATAACGACGTGTAACACCACTGGAAAATGTCCGGTTAATCCAAGACTTGTCAATGAAATCAGGAAAACAGAACTGTTTAGAATCCATCGATGATTGTGCCAGCATAACATCAAAAGTCATTGTGACGGAGTTTCTGAGTGTTGAAACTTGGATAAGCATGGAATAATAATAATACAACACAAAATGTCCGTAAACAAAATGTATTGAAACAAGGAAAAGGTACACAATATTTACAGTTAGTTTTGGTATATTCTTGGGAAGACTGTTCCTGTAGAATGGGTTGACTTAATCGCAGTCGGGCAGAGTCTCTGGATTGTATCTCTTGTTACTTCCCTCGTCTTCCCGGTACCAACCCATATTTATATGGTCGGTACTCCACTATGTAAATTAGGTGGATCGTACCACAACACTGAGCGTACTGGCCTTGTGAAAACTTTTGAAAATCAAGATTATATATATATATATATATATATATATATATAGAGAGAGAGAGAGATAGATAGATAGATAGATAGATAGATAGATAGATAGATAGATAGATAGATAGATAGATAGATAGATTACTTAAATAAACAGTATTATTCTCACAGTCCAAAATATGTTACAAATTCAATAAAGCACAAGTGTTGATAAACCGTAAAAAACAAAACAATCAATCTGATTGTAATTCTGGCTTAATGAGGTTCACTTTTTAGATTGGCTGTTCATGATAAAATTCGGTTTATTTCCTTCGAAAATATTATGTATTGTGGATTACGCACAACTGTCCATTGTGAGTAAAATACAACATCTGTCTGTAATAGTCATGCCTAGGGAAATTGTACAGGCATGCCGGTTCAAATAAAGCTGAGAGTAGATGTTTTCTGACATAATACTATTTCTGGAACGAAATGCTTGTGCCGCGGTGAAAATTATGCGAAAAGTAATAAGTTTGTTGCAATAAATAATGAAAGTTTTAGGCTGGGAAGGAAATTGAAAGAAATTTAAGCTTTAAATACTAGAGGAAGGTCCGCCCATGGTCCGGTTCACAGACCATCCTGGTCTTTCGAACAGGTGACGCAGTGTATCACTTCTTTCCTGTTTAGGATTGGGTTTTTGCAGTACCTTCTAAATATTCTCATTCTCTTGTTCTCCCTATATCCCTTTGCGTCTTAGTGGCATTGTCGCCTTGTTTGGAGTGAACTAAATTTAAAAAAATTCTGTTCATATGTTTTAAGCGTCATCATGTCATCAGTATTTTTATTCAATTCATTTTTATTAGCAGTGTTAACGATTAAAATTATTATTATGTCTCATAATGGCTTTCATCTTCATGTTTTATTAGATGAAGCATTGTCAGCCATTATTATTAATCTTTGACTAGAATTTACTTTCATCTTCATTTTTTATTAGATGAACCATTATTATTAATGTTTTACCACTATTTGCTTTCATCTCCAATAGCCGATATCTGTATTATTTTTCTTCGTTCTTTTATCAAATGAAACATTATCAGCCGTTATTATTAATTTTTGACTTGTAAAGGACTAGACGTGAACTGTAAAAAGGGAGAATTGGAAATATCAAATTTACCAAGTGCAAATATTTAAATATATGTGAAGTATTTTAACAGAGGATTCAGGGAAATCCAAAGTCGCATAGGGTTACCGAAAAATGCATTTCAAAAGCTTAGCAAATTATTAAAAAACAGGAAAATTTCACTGTAAACAAAGAACTGATTACATATGCACTATTGGTACTTCTGTATGGCAGTGAATGCAGGGACATCTCATCCGAAATGAAAAAGAACCTCGAGACAACAGAAATGTGACTCTACAGAAGGATGCTGAGAATACTGCTAAAGGAATTGATCACGTGAGCAACGACGAAGTGTTAGAGAAAAGCGAAATAAAACCAACACCTATAGCTAGATCAGAAAGAGACAGTTGAAATTTCTTGGACATATAGTGAGGAAAGCAGGCTTAGGAAATTTGACACTACTTGTATATATATTGAAGGCAAGAGGGACAGAAGAAAGTAGTGCATAACTCCTGCCTAACGAGCTTGTGTAAATGGTTGACAGATTAGGATATATAACAAAAAGACAATCAATCTACGTTCTACAAAAAACTGGAAGTTGTGAAGAGACATGATCGCACACGTCAAGAAGGGACACGGCATATAAAAGAAGATTTACTTCCATCTCCATTTTATATTACCATTGACTATTATTTTTTATTAAATTATTATTAATTTTTGACTAGTATTTCATCTTCATTTTTATTAAATGAAAAATTTTCAGCCATTATTATTAATATTTGACTAGCATTTACTTTCATCTTCATTTTTTATTAGATGAAGCATTGTCAGCCATTATTATTAATTTTTGACTAGTATTTCATCTTCATTTTTATTAAAATGAAAATTTTCAGCCATTATTATTAATATTTGACTAGCATTTACTTTCATCTTCATTTTTTATTAGATGAAGCATTGTCAGCCATTATTATTAATTTTTGACTAGTATTTCATCTTCATTTTTATTAAATGAAAAATTTTCAGCCATTATTATTAATATTTGACTAGCATTTACTTTCATCTTCATTTTTTATTAGATGAAGCATTGTCAGCCATTATTATTAATTTTTGTCTAGTATTCATCTTCATTTTTATTAAATGAAAAATTTTCAGCCATTATTATTAATATTTGACTAGCATTTACTTTCATCTTCATTTTTTATTAGATGAAGCATTGTCAGCCATTATTATTAATTTTTGTCTAGTATTCATCTTCATTTTTATTAAATGAAAAATTTTCAGCCATTATTATTAATATTTGACTAGCATTTACTTTCATCTTCATTTTTTATTAGATGAAGCATTGTCAGCCATTATTATTAATTTTTGTCTAGTATTCATCTTCATTTTTATTAAATGAAAAATTGACAGCCATTATTATTAATATTTGACTAGCATTTACTTTCATCTTCATTTTTTATTAGATGAAGCATTGTCAGCCATTATTATTAATTTTGTCTAGTATTCATCTTCATTTTTATTAAATGAAAATTTTTCATTATTATTAATATTTGACTAGCATTTACTTTCTTCTTCATTTTTATTAGATGAAGCATTGTCAAGCCATTTTATTAATTTTTGTCTAGTATTCATCTTCATTTTTATTAAATGAAAATTTTTTCAGCCATTATTATTAATATTTGACTAGCATTTACTTTCATCTTCATTTTTTATTAGATGAAGCATTGTCAGCCATTTTTATTAATTTTTGTCTAGTATTCATCTTCATTTTTATTAAATGAAAATTTTCAGCCATTATTATTAATATTTGACTAGCATTTACTTTCATCTTCATTTTTTATTAGATGAAGCATTGTCAGCCATTATTATTAATTTTTGTCTAGTATTCATCTTCATTTTTATTAAATGAAAAATTGACAGCGATTATTATTAATTTTTGACTAGTATTTTTTTTCATTTTCATCTTTATTAGATGAAGCATTGTTAGTCGTTGTCAACCATTACAATTAATTTTGATTACTATTTACTTTCCTCTTGATCGCGATAAAAAAATATTGAAGTTGAAAGTAAATCCCAGTAAAAATTAAAAATATGTTCGTGTATCTCTCAAACGATTTCATACATCAGTGATGTATCTTTGTCCTATTTCAAGCATAAAAGTTTCAACCTTGTCCAGTTTCGAGGTGATGCTATAAAATTCTCTATTGATTCTTCTTCCTGGTCAAGTTTTGTGCAGTTGGTTAGGCCGAGGACTTTATAAATATTGGATGTTACAGTTCTTGCAGACGACAGATTGGAAGCGAAAAAGAATTCAAAGCGGGAGAAGTGTTTTGATTTTGCCAAAGAATTTTAAAACGATATTTTGTAATTAGGAGATAACTTTTGCTATAAGAAATTCGAATCTTTGGCGAAATCGACAGAAATGTTTAACTTAAGAGAAGATAAAGCAATATGGAGGTATATAATTCTCAAAAATGAAATAGTGGTGATGTGTTTAAGCAACGCATCCCCCCACTTGTAAAAAAAGATTTATAAACGGATACGTAATTACAGGACGTCAATGAAAAAGATATATTTTAAAATAACAAAAAAAAAAACGGCGAAACTTTGCAAAAGACATTGTCAGGTTAGGACATTTCTTTCGTTTTAAAAATAAATGGCATCCTTCTTTTCTTTTTCAAATGAAGTTAATGTGTTCTATATCTGTCACATAATAGTTTGATACATTTAGTGCATGAAATAGGTATGCAAATGTATCAATTAGTATGAGAACGACTGATGTCTTTGAAACGCTTTCTCGAATCTCTATCAAGCTATTTAAAACCAGAAAATATTTTTAGATTGTAAGAACTTTTTGGAGAGAATAATTATTTACTGATACAAATCCTACTAATTAACCTGGGAAAGAACAGGTTGATTAATACCTTTCGCAAGAGTATTTGCACACTCACATGATAGTTACCACACCTGGTATTCCCAAGTAGTTACCCATCTGAGTACTGACTAGGCTCAATGCTTCTTAACTTCGATGATCGTACGGGAACCTGTGTTTCAACGGGATATGGTTGTAAGCCTATTTACAATGGGACAGAGATGGTAATAAATATAAAATTCTACATAAAATTCTCCCTTATAATAGTTGTTACATTTGATGTATGAAATGTCTTTGCACATTTTTCTCACAAATTCAAAGGCTATGTTGCCTCTGGCCAAATATTAGGTTGTTAGCATTTTCAAAGAAACCATCAAGGAATTAATGCTACACCCGTCGACAACGGATTAGAATTACTATTACTTCTGCAAAAGGCAACTTTGAAAATAAAGACAGGAAAACAAACTAAAAACAAAACTTTTGAAAATGTCTAATGGATTAGCCGAAAGCGCTTGTGTTCATAATCGCTAGGGACAAAGAGTTTGTACATTCCCTTGGGTCCTATAAAAGATAAGAGTTCAAGATCTATCTATCTATCTATCTATCTATCTATCTATCTATCTATCTATCTATCTCATGGGTTCCATAAGAGATAAAAACTATCTGTCTATCTATCTCTCGCACCCCATAATAGATAAAATGTAAGAGCTATCTGTCTCTCTATCTGTTGGACCACATAAAAGATAAAAGTGTAAAATCCATGCATCTATCCACCCATCCTATCTATCTATCTATCTATCACAGCCTGCTATCTATCTATCTATCTATCTATCTATCTATCTATCTATCTATCTATCTATCTATCACAGCCTGCTATCTATCTATCTATCCATCTATCTATCTATCTATCTATCTATCTATCTATCACAGCCTATCTATCTATCTATCTATCTATCTATCTATCCATCTATCTATCTATCTATCTATCTATCTATTTGTCCGATGGGTTCTATAATATATAAAAGTGTAAGAACTATCTATCCTTCTATCTACCTGTTGGTCCCCATGAAAGAAAAAAAGTGTAAGTTTCTTCCATCTATCTCGCTGTTTGTCTGTCTGTCTGTCTGTCTGTCTATCGATCTATCTATCTCTGCTAATATGAATCATTCTACTCATATCTATCTATCTATCTATCTATCTATCTATCTATCTATCTAACAACCTGCTATCTATCTATCTATCTATCTATCTATCTATCTATCTATGACAGCCTGCTATCTATCTATCTATCTGTTGGGACAACTGAAATATTAAAACATTAAAGTGGAAGAACTTTAGAAAGATTTTAATAATGAAAAATTATAAAAATTTACTTTATGTCTGACTTTCTTGTAGAAAGACTTATCATTATTTACACTATTTACCTACAGACGATTGTCTTTATCTTTGTTGTTGTTATCACAATTTTTCGGCCGTTTTGCTCTCCGACATCATCAGGTGCATGTCTGAATTTCTGCGACGTGGAGTAATCATTATTTACACTATTTAGAGGGGGGAGGCTATTGTACTCATCGTGTTTTTTGGTTCACTGCTGCGACCTTATATTGAACCAAAACTTGGAGAGTTGAGTTAAAGGAAGATAACTGAGACACCCGGAAGAGGTATGGCACGTGGAACTAGAACAATCTACCACGGTGGATGGAGTAAAAGGGTTCGGTTCGAAATTCCAATTACCTGAAGAAGGCGTACAACGGCCAAAACGTTGTGAATGTAGCAACGAAGATGAGGATAACAGTTCGAATAACGTAAATAATACAAATATATATATATATATATATATATTATTGCATCCATCGGTCTCGAGAGACCTTGGTCCTTCACCCGAAGAGTTATGCCCTTACCACAATGCAGTCCTGACAGATCGGTAGTTGGCGATGCAGCACGTTTTCACTCTCCACGGCACCGATGTTATCCAAGGCAGATGCCACCAAAGCTTGGCACCAGCGATGTCGCAGGAATTTCCAGAAAAAAAAATGAATATGACATCAGGCTACTTTAAAGACTCTTGCTCCGAATTTGAATTCAGAGTTGTCCTTCTCCTAGTCATTTTGCCAACCATGGCTATGGAACCCAAACTACCCTGCTATTTACCCATAGTTCGAGGTTTTGAATTTAGAGATTTTTCCTTCTCCAAGGCCGGTTGCCACCCAAGGCTACAGAACTATGTCCTGCATATATATATATATATATATATATATATATATATATATATGAGTGGACATTGAAGTCAAGACTCAGAGGCGACGGACTGTTGATTGCATCTAGCATGAAACAGTCTGTCGCCTCTGAGCGTTGACTGATATGTTCACTTTTATATTTGCATATGCTTTATCCCTGATATTAAGCACTTTAACCCATAAATATAGCATACCTTGAAACTATATTTCTTTATATATATATATATATATATATATATATATATATATATATACATTTGCTCTGTAATAATAAATACATTGAGCTATTTTTGTGGATCAGTTTTATTTACTAGGATCCACTTGAAATATATACCAACGGATTTATTAACTTTACTATATATATATATATATATGTGTGTGTGTGTGTGTGTGTGTGTGTGTGTGTGTGTGTGTGTGTGTGTGTAAATTAATATTTCTTAACGAAATCAAAAATGAAATATCCTTCATACATAAGATTGCATAATTCTGCTTATTTAGGGAAATATTATTATAGACAAGAGATATTTTGTGTCGATTAATTTTATTCATCGACTTTCCTAAGGTACGAATAATCTTTCCCAGACAAGGAGAAAATTTTGTCAGAGATTACCCGAAGTACATTTCGGAAGAAATTATGCCAAGACTTCGACTTTCTTAAGTCATTATCAGAGTAGGTAGAGATAATTGCTTGGTTTTTGTAGAGTCTGTGTTGTAGTAAAATAGTGTTGTGACGTAAGCGAAATGTGACATGGGTTATTTAACACTCTTTGCCTACGTCACAATAGTCACTAGTTCTACGAAGATCACCATTCATCTCAATCTTGGGCGCCCGACGCGTGTCCCAAAATAGCCTAGCCCCTGCAACCGTCAGTATTATTACCGCTCTATTTAGTCTTTTTTTTTTATAATGAGGTTTACCCTGTACAAGGCCCGTGAGCCACTTGAGGTAGACGGTTACAGCGTAAAAGGTGGTTCATGCGAATAAGTGAGGAAGATAACTTCTAACCAAAGATAGGAATAGGTAAATATTATAAAGTCGGTTCCACAGGACGCGGGAAGAAGATGATTGTGTGGAACTTAATTCTCATCAGTGGAATATGGAAGGAACAAAGATGGCGCGATAAAATATGTGTAGTATAGTGGGTTCTAGCCGTTAAGGTTAGAATTGGTAACCCTAAGGAACGTAGGTCTTCTGAGCACTACGGTGGAGTAATGGATAGCGGCTCGGATTGAGGAATCGGAGAGCCGAGTTCGAATTCAACTCGAATCCATTACATTCACTTACGTGGTAATAACCTTGGGAAAGGTAAGAATCCTCTTTTTCTTCTCCCCCCAAGCTATGGGTAAATAGCAGTACAGACCGTGTTGCCTTAGATGGCAACTGGTCTGTCGCAGAAAGAAATGGCAACTTATTGCTGGAAATTAATCTGCCTCGTCAGTCATGTATCGAAAGATACATGACCGCCTAAGCGCGTATCAGACATAGCACATAACTAACTGATATTCACTTACGAGCTAATTATCTTGGGAAAGATATAAATCCTCTTATTCTCCCCCCAGCTATGGGAAAATAGCAGGACAGACTGGGTTCTATAGCGTTGGATGGCAACTGGTCTACCACAGAAATAAATGGCAACCTACTGCTGGGAAAAATCTGCCTCGTCAGTCATGTATCGAAAGATACATGATCGCCTAAGCGTGTCTCACGCATAGCACATAACTGACTGAAATTCACTTTCGCGCAAATACTTTTGGGAAAGGTATGAATCCTCTTCTTCCCCATCTATGGGTGAATAGCAGGACAGCCCGGGTTCTATAGCCTTGGATGGCAACTGGTCTACCGCAAAAAGAGATGGCAACCTACTGCTGGGAAAAAATCTGCCTCGTCAGTCATGTTTCGCAAGATACATGATTGTCTATGCGTGTATTACTTATGGTACATAATTGGCTGATTTTCCATGAAAGTAAAGTTAGGACTGTGAGAAGCTTGTTACGTTCCATCTGTGTTTTCAAGGTGGAAAACAATTTGTCAACCACAAGGACGCGGAGACAGTTTTGGGCTCTATCAGGAATGGAAAATGAAGACTAAGCAACTCCTTATATGAGGGAGGGTACTGTCGTGGGCAGGTGTTTCCCGGGATCGGGTACCGCTCAATAATATCTTCAGTTTGGCTCTGTCCGCCGACAGAGACACAACTGAGAGATGAAATATAGTTTATCCGATGCTAGACTTTGATCCCAACCGAAAGGCCGTGAAGCGTTACTGAATGTGACAAAAGATCAGTTTAAAGTGGGTTTAACAGCAATACCGGGGAAAACTTGCCCAAACCCCATCGTTACTTCCTCTTTTGAGGACGCTTCAGGCGCCGAGCGATAAGCACAGCCCGCTCCAAAAGGATAGGTAGTACCTGAGGGAAGGCCCACTGGGGCTTGGGGTTAATATTATTCGAACCTCCTCGATTCAAAAGGACGAGAAACGATATCGACCGTGATAAACCGCCATTTTTTCGCATGAAATCATCAAAAATCAATTACAATAAATGAAATAAAAAAACATCGTCTGCGGAAGTATTTTTAAATTATGATTACGAAAAAATGTCGTAAGATGGGAATTTGGTTAGTATTAAAACTACTCACTTCAGGCGTACTTTAGTCTAGCTGCTGCAGAGAGCTTTTTGGGCCTTCGGACTTTTATCTTCAGTTTCCTCAGTACGTAAAAGTTATAAGAATTTAGAAATAATAAAATTATTTCATTCTTTATTCGACACATTAATTCGGCATAATCTTTCTTCATATACACAACCGATCTCTGTAGTTTGTCTACATTTATTTTGAACGCAATTTTTCTTTAAATCGCCATTCTTGATGACCCCTTCACATAAAGTCACTCTTAAAAGACCTTATGGAATCCAAACTATGTAATATTTCGAATCCGTCACATTACGCATCATAGAGAAAGAAAAAAATCCATATGAGCAACGTACCGTGCCCTACTATGTTTTAATTAGACGATATCAATTGTAATCGCAACGAAAAGATAAATTAAACTTAAACCTTTAATAAATATTTGTTTTTAATCTTTCACTCAGTTCGATATTTAAATTAAATTTTAAATGAGTTGTTTAATTTTTAATCACGTTTAAACACAGTAGTTACACCCCAGGTTGTTTATGATTCACCGAGATTGAAAAACGGACAGACAGACACATGTACACTGCACTTTATTATTATAAGAAGATAAGAAGACGGTGACTAATTTTTCAACTGTAGACATTATGACAGCTAGTATATATACAATTTCAAGAGAATTAACGCTTAAGCAACAGAATAAATTAAAACCTATTTCTGGTAGATATACTCGCGCCTAAAAATACATTCAATGTACGTAATATATTTTCTGCTTACCAAGTGACCCTTGTGTTTCATTTCAAGAATGGTGCCGAAGAGACCAACATGCTAGCACCAGAACAAACTCATTTAGAGACTACAACGACAAAGATATGGAATTTGTGCAGACTTTGTGGAAAAAGAGATAGGAAGCAGTAGTCAATTTGGTATCAGCGTGTAAGAACTCATCCAGATACAGCAGAAGTAGCTATTCATTTGCAACTATAGCAAAACCTCGATCTAAAGAAGGAATTGTGAGGAGGGTGTGTCCCTTAAATCCGATAAATAAAGTAGAAAGGAGTCCTTTAGATCACGGCATTTAATAAACATAGTTTTGCAGAATTCAAGACAGTCAGCAACGCAAACGAGTAATGTTGGGTAAAACAGTATAAAATAGCAAAGAAATCAATCATATGAGCTATTGTAACTATTTACACTATTTACATTGTGTGGACTGTTGTCCTCATCTTTATTGTCATATTCACCTTCAACATCTGTCTCTATTTCTGAGATGAGGTATTGTAACTATTTACACTATTTACATTGTTCGGACTGTTGTCCTCATCTTTATTGCCATATTCACCTTCAACATCT